ACCCAAACCAAAAGATGTTACCCTTCTCCTTAATCTCCTCCTCCTCCCCCTCCTCCTCCTCCTCCTCTCCGCCTACGCTCGTCACAATCTTGCTTAGACCAAACAATGATACATCCACATATATGTTTGTGACTATAGATTGTCACATGAATATCAGAGCGCAAAGGCGAAAGAAAAAAACAGAAGAAAACAAGAAAAAATATTTATATATATATATATGTATGTTACGATATATACTCCGACGTTGCTAGCTCTCTGCTTTTGTAGATGATGCGGCGAGCGTCGGGCCTGTTTTAGCAGGCTCTTTCTTTCGTTATGGTGGGAAATATTCTCCTAATTTTTTTATTATCATTCCTTTTTTTTTGCTTTACTCTTCCCCTTTTGTGCGGTATTTCGTTTTGCGGACCTACTGTATGGTTCCGTTTTGCGGACCTACTGTATGGTTCCATTTTGCGGACCTACTGCAACAATATATAGCGGTAGAGGATGGATCCACCCCAACTGGCACAGTGATTGGCCTAAGCCGCTAACGGGGATCAAGATGCGTCTGATGCGCGACACAAAGCATCAGCATTCGCATGAACATCTCACGCATCTTGAAGAATGGTTGTCCAAGAAACTCCCGCAGTGACATCCACTGTGCAGCTTCGATTTATGAATCTTGCTTTGTTATCTCAATGAAAGCGGCTTCAGCGCGCATATCATGAAGAAGTCAGATTTGCCAAAAGCCGCACAATGCACCTGACGAAAACTGACAATCTCCAAAAATTCTGCCTCAATTCCTGTCTCACACTGCATTGAGACTGAGGGGATCGCTTTGGCGAGTGTCTGTAATCAACAGCAAAGTCCACAATGAGTGTCTCGACACCTAGAAGTGCAGGCTGACATTGCATTCTGGTTAATTTGTGTGGACTCAAGATGATCCCGGTGTTGATATCAGACAAGTGTCCAGTTTGCTAGATCTCGGACTTCATATATTCAGACCCTCTTACTTACGGGCAATTCTTGTGTTTTTTTGGGGGGGGATTGACCTTAATGGTTTATGTTTGTCTCTTTATAGACCTGTTGTTGTTTTCTGCATGGAATTTGAGTTTCAAGAGGAGACTCGGATATAATTTACTGTGGGTGTGATTCGCACCAGCTGCTGTTTGTGGCACATGGAAAAGAAAGGTTTCTAGGATGTTTCATACAGTGGCCCTTTTGGTGTCATCGGTAACTCTTGTTGCATCAGGCCTGATTCGTGAAGTGTTTGTGAATAGGACGCACACGAAACCTCTCTCTCTCTCTCTCTCTCTCTCTCTCTCTCTCTCTCTCTCTCTCTCTCTCTCTTTGTGTGAGTGTGTGTGTGTGTGTGTGTGTGTGTGTGTGTGAATTCTCTGTGACGCCAATGCTTATGTTTTTTTGTCTCTTCTCACGGGCACAGTTTCAAGTAACGGATCCAACTTTGACATCCAAAGTTGGTGTCTCAAAGCTGCACTTTCATGTTCATAAACTCGCTTTGCATCTTTATAGGTGGGGAGCATCACCTACCCCTAATAGCTGTCTGTTTTTTTTTTTTTTTTATATAATTCCGAAGGAAAAAATACAACGATAATGACTGTGCGTTCCTTTTTTTTTTTTTGGGAATCTCAACTCCCTTCTATAGGTGGGGAGCGTCACCTGTTGGAAAACGCGCCCTGTGCCCCATCGGTTGGAGAGATCCTCAGCGCTCCGTGGCGTTATGGTCCGGGCACCCTTGCCAGCATTAATTATGTCTGCCGACCAACCTCCTGGAACAGCTATGGTGATATCTCTCGATGTGCCTGGGAAATGTATTTGCTAGCAAACACTGGGTCTGGTTCCCAGCACGTGTTTCTCCCTGCCAATAGAACGGAGTTTTAAAGCACCGGTACATGGCCACCTGGGCCACGAGGCTGACACCTTGAATTATGGAAGCGCGAAACGAAAACATGACCGCCAATCCAATTTATCAATGGCAGGCCCAACGTTTGACGTTCTGGCCTCGGTTTATTGTGGCGACAAGTTTCAGACTGCAAGGCTGGGGCTGTGTATTAGTGGTTTGAAGACGGGAGGGGGGGGGAGGATGATTTTTGTCTTATACGCTGTATTCGCCTCAATCAAACTCAGTGGGAACAGAGAAATTCGCGAAAAACTGCGCAATGTACCAGTCTCAGACCATGGTTATGACTGCAGTCTGTGAAACGGACTGCAATCACCAGCAGAAAAGTCCTACTCTAAGTATGCCTTGAGATTCGGCACAGTTTTAGAGGGAACAAAAATCGCAAACACCTCTGGAGGTTGTCGCAAATTCTAATCATAGACGAACCTGTACATCTAACCATTCGACCTCACCGACCCCCACTTCAACATGGGGGGGGAGGAGGGGCGGAGCCCCTCATGCCCCACACTTGAACATAACCACAAATTGCTCAACTCCACAGCCTAGCGGTCCGTTGACATTTGCCACACCACCTGCCTATTTGAAGGGCGCTCCCTCCCCCACAATCGAGCATCACTTGCCAGTTGGATAAGTTCAGGGATGTTCGCAAAGCGTTGATGAGCTTAGGGTGTCCTAGGGCCTAGAGCAAAGAGGTCCTTAATCGTCCTTGCCTCACGGACTGCCTCTCTCTTTCGTCCTTCTACTACACTTGAACAGAGCACAAACTTAGATATAGCGCTGACATAGCACAGAAGAATGTGAACACTTTTATAACACAATGGAATGTGGTCCTGATATAACCCGCCCGCCCACTCACCCAGCCACCCGCCTGCCCAGTTAACCAGCCACGCACCCGCACTCACTGAGCAACTACCTTGTTCTGTAACGGGCTAAACATAGCATGAACATAGCGCATAGCACAAACACAGCACAAACACGACAAAAAAAATAGCACAAACATAATATAAGCATGCCGCGCAAACATATCACAAACATAAACAAGGGTCGAACATAGAGACGAGCATAGGAGAAACACAGCACGAGCACACATGGCATGAACATAGCACAAACACAACACATTGCAGCAGGATCCTGTTATAGCACCCCCCCCCCACCCACCCGCCGATCCACCCACCCGTCCACTCACTGAGGAAGTGCCTCATTCTGCCCTGGACTGCAGAGAGCATAACCATAGCATGTACGTAGCACAAACACATCACAAGACATAGCACAAGACATAGCATAAACATAGCACATGATGAGATAGCACAAGACATAGCACAAACAAGGCTCGAACATAGAACCAGTACAACTCGGAAGGTCTTGGCCATCGGGGCAAGGCTTCCTGATCGGGTAACGTACAGCTAGGAACGTCTCAGCCATCCGGTGAACAAAACAGACCGTTTTCTGGCAACGCTTCCTGATTGGGTAATTTGCAGCGTGGAAGGTTTCAGACATACCGTGCGGAAGTCACACACTGGGATTGGATGGAGAGATGGACAACCAGAGCTTAGTCTTCGCCCAACTACCCTCTACACCCGAATAAGGGCGTACTCAGCTCTGGACGTGATTGGAGTCAGATTCATTTAGGTCAGGCTGCAATTGCAGTCATACACTTTAACATAATGAGTTGCATGGGGGGGCTTCCCCACACTTGAAGATAATCAGATCCATATCGGAAACAAAAAAGACATGACATCAGACAAACAAGTTTTATACCTAAACCCCAAAACTGCACCCCTGACTCTAAGAGCCGCGGCCCCACCTCCTTGCATACCACACAAACCAATCTATACATGGGGGGAAGGGGGTGTGGGGGAGACCAAATCAGCATGCATGAAACCAGGCCAGCATGGGGCTGCCATACCACAATAACTTCCGATACACAGGCACAAAAAAAACAGCTGCAACATTTGAGCCCCCCACCCTGACAGCCAGGGGGAAAGGACGAGAGCCCCTGGCCCTGCCTGCGCCACCACGCTTGGCATGGTCTAACAGTTCGCAGCCAAAGGCTGCATCTTACCCCGTTGCACTTTGTCGTGTAGCGCGGTGTCCTTTTTATGGAAGTGTCGACGAGTCCTTACGGGGTTTATGGGGAGTCTACAAGGTGCACGGTCGGGGGCAGGGCACAGACCGGTAGCCGAAAAGGTCGGCTCAGAGGTTGGAGCACGGGCGACCAAGGGCAGGTTGCATAGGTCGTTGTTTGGCCGTGGCGGGCGTGGGGCGGAGGTTTTTTTGTTTTGGTTTCGGCCTTCGTTTTTGAAAGGGCGGGGGATTGTTTTGGGGCAGGCGAGGTCTAGTAAGTGATAAGTGACGGAAGGGATGGCCAAACGCCCTCGCTCTACCACTGTGCAAAATGTGATGTGAATGAATGAATCTTGCGGCTAGAACATGGAAGTATACACGGCCATAGTTTTTGTCTTTTGTGCATGTGCTGAGTAGTGCAGCGAGGGCCAAAGGTAAGGTTCAGGGCATCCCCTCACCATTCTCGAAATTTGCAAAATGGGAATGAACTTCTGGCTAGAACATGGCCAGATGCACCCGCCACATTTTTGGTCTTTCTTTCACCTTTCGAGAGTGGTGTGGCGAGGCCCAGTGTCCACGGCGGTCGAGATGGTGGTGGAGGCGGGAGGAGTGAGAAAAGGGCCACCTCGCGTGACCTACTCCTCGCTCCCGGTTGGCTGTGCTCCCGCGCCCTGCGCGGTACACTGTGTGTGTGTGGGTGTGTGTTTTTGCCTGCGGTGTCGTGCCTGAAGGTGTGGAGAGTTAGGTTCACACTCCGCTGGAAAAGGAAATAGGTGAGTTCGTGAGGCTTGGAGAAGTGCACCCTCCCTCCCTCCCTCTCGGCGGTGTTGTGCGTGAAGAGGTGGAGAGATCCGTTCACCATCTGCCCCAAAACGAAATAAGTCGTTTCGAATAAAAAAAGAAAGGAAGTTCGTTTTGCCTGGCCTGACGATGCGCACCCTCCCTCCCTCCCTCTCTCACAGCGGTGTTGTGTGTGGAGGTTTAGAGTTCCGTTCACACTCGGCCCAAAAATGAAATAGGTGTTTCGCCCGGCATCGCGAAGTGCACCCTCTCCTTCTCTCTCTCTCTCTCTCTCTCTCTCTCTCTCTCTCTCTCTCTCTCTCTCTCTCTCTCTCTCTCTCTCTGCCCCCCCTCCCCCCCCCTCCCCCACTCCCCTCCCTCCCTCCCTCTCTCCCTCCCTTTCTCCCTTCTCTCCTTCCGTCCGTTCGCTTAGGGCTGCAACTCCATTTTTTGCAGGGGTGCTTTGTTGCAAGTGCGATGAGACAGGATTTTGCACGGCCGCTATCGGAAGGAGTAGGTGGGGATCATGCCGTGAATGCGGAGAGGCAGGGGGAGAAGGAGCACTACAGGTAGGGTGAGGTCGAGTGCCTGGTCAAGCAGGCAGGAGAAATCTTGAGGGGCTGGAGTAGCAGGAGAAGGACAAGGGGAAGGGTGGGTGAAGCATTCAAGGTAAGTTCGCCGTCGTTGAGGTTGTGGAAAGGTAAGACGCGAGGAGAAACCTAAAGTAAGTGGGAGGAGCACGTAGGTCGGCGACCCAATTTGCGAAGAAAGGGATGCGCAACGGGGATTGGGGGCTGATCAGGAAGTGGGATCGAGAKGGRGAGAAGGTCGTAATSCCCGGCAATCAGGGTGAGGATGTAGGAACGGATGAAGTTTCAGGGGAATGATCTCAAAGGCAACAGGGTGAGGAATGCAGGGCTTATGGGGAGATGCGGACAAGGTGGGAAAGAAGGGATTGCAAGGCTGGACGAGGGTCTGAGAGCGAGGAGAACAGGTTGTTAGTAAAGGAGAGAGCAGGATAATGACGAAGGGGCTGAATCACTCGAGGGATAGGGTAAATGTGGATATGCAGGTTTAGGATGAGGAATGGAGGGGGTATGGGGGGGAAGACCGGACAAGGTGTGGAAGGGGAGAGATTGCTTGCGAGGCAGGAAGTGGGGGGGTCGGCGGGAGGAGAAGAGGTTGTAATGAAAGGAGAGAAGGATAATGACGAAGGTGCTGAATCATGAGAGGGATAAGGTAAATGTGTATATGCAGGTGATGGAGAGACAAGTGAAGAGAGAAAGGGCGACAGGCAGAGGAAAAGAGGAAAGGACATATCAGATCCGCAAGGGGCACATCGAGTGTTGGAGGAGAAGGAGGTCGAAGAGGATCCCAACGATGGCGAGAAAGGCGAGGAGAAAGACGGGAAGAGAGAGGGGACAGAAAGAGAACAAGGAGAGGAGAGGATGGGGTAGTGCTGTGGGAAGATCGGGAGGGCGAATTGAGGGCGCAAGTTGAAAGATGGAATGGGACAGGAGGAAGGGAGGCAATGGAGGAGGAAGAAGAGGAAAAAGGCGAGCGGGTAAGGAAGAATGAGAGTGTGTGTGCGTGAGAGAGGGGAGCGGGGTGGGGGGAAAGGCGCATGAGAGGGCATTTGCCTGACATGGCAGATATAAATGGAAAAGGAAGAGAACGTAGAACTTAATAGTATGTGTTTGTGCCGGTCTGCCTGCCCGCCTCTCTCTCTCTCTCCCTCTCTCTCTCTCTCTCTCTCTCTCTCTCTCTCTCTCTCTCTCTCTCTCTCTCTCTCTGCTTTTCACTGTCACCACGACCACCCCTTTTCCACCAGATGAGTATATCCAAAAATAAAACAGGCTTACCTCACATATCTATCAAGTAATATCAACCAAACTTGAAGGAGTGCTCTTTGCAAAGCAAAAGGAAAAAATAACACAGAGCATGAAGGACACAAAGACCGTTGTTTGCTGCACGCTATGAAAAGGATGTGTGTGTGTGTGTGTGTGTGTGTGTGTGTGTGTGTGTGTTAAGACTGTCAACACCACCACCTCTTTACCATCCAGATGAGCAGATCCAAAACTGAAACAGCCTTACCTCACAATCTTGTATCAAGTTATACATGATATTTTGAATGATTGTAATGTAAACAAGTAAAGCCAGTGCGGCTACGCCCGCACACATGGAAATATCGATGAGATATTCGGGGTCTGCATAAGTATCCATCTATAGATCTAATGGACTGTAAGTCTCTCTCTCTTCTCTCTCTCTCTCTCTCTCTCTCTCTCTCTCTCTCACACACACACACACACACACACACATGCACGCACAGCTGATGTGCACTTGGTGTTGACGTCGACAACGCCGGCGCGAGCGAAATACGAGAGAGGAGATATGCAGCCTGTCTGGCCCATCGGTCGAATGGAAATTGAGATTAAAAAAAAAACAAAAAAACAGATATGAATCATATGATAGCAATAGAGTATCGGGAGGAGCTCCAGACGTGAAGGGACAACAACATAGCAGCACATGAAGAAAAAGTAAGAAAAGGAAAGGGTACATGAAAGAGAACTATACGCTCAAAGGATGTAGTAATGTCACACAATCAATATTTCATCGTCATCTTCTTTCTCTCGTTTTTCCTTTTTTCATTTAGAATCATCTACGGTAAAAAAAAAAAAAAAAAAAAAAAGGCGGGACTTGGAGTGAGGACGGGCGTGCCTCCACAAAGAGAAGATAGTAGCCCGAAGATTACTATCCCACTGGGATCTCTCTGCCCTATCCCTCTCGCAATCTCTTCCTCCCTCACTCTCACTTTCTCCTGCGACTTCTCCCCTTTCCATCCCTCCGTCTCTCTCTCTCTCTCTCTCTCTCTCTCTCTCTCTCTCTCTCTCTCTCTCTCTCTCTCTCGCTCGCTCGCTCCAGGGGTGCGTCTGGTCGGATGAGAAAGCCGAAGGCACACCCACAGACAAAATCTGCTCGACTCCGGCACACTGGCATCAAGCCCTGTCAGTTGATACATTTAAGGTTTGGGAAATGGTGGTAGGTCCCATCATGAAATTCATTGAAAATGAAAAAGGGGGTTTTGAAACCTTGGTTGGTTTAAAAAAAAAAAATAATAAAAAAAAAAATAATAAAAAAAAAATTGGTGGGTGACGTGAATCTGGCAAAGCAGTTTGTCTTGCAACCTTCACTGAGCTTGGTCGGGATTTAAAGTCTGGACTTTGGAGTTGATGAAGGTGGTCAGGCTATGCACCTCTGCCTTTTGGCCGAGTGGCTTACTTTTGTAAGCATTAATGAAGACATCATGAGCTCAAATCCCGGTGGATACAATGTCCATAGGGACTAGCCCTTGTTTTTCCTTCCCCCCCCCCCTCCTCTTTTTTGAACAGGTGGGCGGGCTATATGCAGGTGAATACTCGAAACTAGTTTAAAACCTGGATATCTAAGGGGTTTCCACGAGTCGCATGAAACTACCAGCCTATCGTATGAAACTGACCCTCAAATTCCTTCAGCCTTCACTGCTGCAAGAATCTCAACTCCACGTCGAGGATACCTCTTGGGGGTCTGGGGGTTTCCTCGACTGGACGATCGCAGTGTTGTGACCGTTCGTGGAGAAGTAGGTGCCATCTATAGCTCCCCCCGAGCCATCTTTCTGGATTGAGTTTGTTCACGAGTGAGACCCATGCTCATCTTCCCATTCAAGGAAGTCTTTATCAAAAAGCCAAAAAAACAAAATGGAGAAAAACAAAAAACAAAAAACAAAAAACAAAAAACAAAAAACAAAACAAACAAACAAACAAAATGGCCAAGGAAAGAAAGTACGAAAATGGAAAATGGAAAATGTGAGGGAGGCAGGGAGGGAGGGAGGGAGGGAGGGAGACCTTCTCTGAGCTGTTGCTATTATGTGTTTTTCTTTTTTTTTGCAGAAAAAAACAGATGTGTCAGCCAGCGGAAAGAGGCATAGGGGTGCGGGAAGATGAAAGGGGAGGTGCAGCTACTGGCAAATGTTGAGTCCTTGTGTTAGCCGGGCGCCCTGGGCCCAACCCTGCACCCTAAACCACTGGGGCAAGGGGAAACATGCAATCTCTTCATAGCGAGGTAGCCATGCTTGCAGGGGGGTGCTATATATAGCCTTAGAAGTAGTGGTAGGTAGGTAGTGAAAGTGGTGAATTGAGAGAGAAGAGCACAAAGAAAAGAGGCATCTGCGAACATTCAACCCAAGCAAAAAAGACAGATTTTCAGGGACTCTGTGCTGTTTGTAATCTCATGTATGAATGCGAAATTTGCTGTTTTTTGTGCTTGCATGAACAAACAGGATTTTGTCCGCAATTGGCAGGCTCTTGGAGGCTAGGCTGAGACGAACGCAGAGGGACAGACACAGTATTTTGGCTGCAGTTGGTTGGCTTGTGGAGGTTAAGAGTAAGATTGAGCGGAGGGGGACCGAGAGGAAAGCGACAATGGCAGATCAGCAATTGGCTTCTCCGCCTGCAGTCGTGTGCGCAACCATACAGCTACCTGGCGAGGACACCTGGCACGCTGACATATCCCTGGAAGAAGATGGGAAAGTGTCGACGTGTCTTGCAATGATGAAAGAGACATGCATGGCGAGATTGGCTGATCACCTGGCAAAACATGCGATCAAAATTCAGCCGTCAGATGATGGATGGGATAATGCAGATGAAGTGGATGAGGAGGTTGACGATGACCTAGTTGCAATTTTGGGTTCGGATAAGAAGAAGTTGAAGAGGCGGTAATGGGACGGCTGAGAGTTTTAGCCCTTAGGTTCTAGATCTCCATATGTAAAATGACAATTAACCTTGCAGTCCTTAACCAGCCCCTTCAGTTGTTTCTTTGCCGCGCTTGATCTTCCCCCCCCCCCCCTGTAGAGCATGTCCTCAATGTTGTGCAAGGACAGCTATTGTTTGTGTTGTGCTGTTATGTTTGGCCATTCTTTGCGCTGCATGTGCTCACATCCCTGCATATTCCCTCTCTCTTCCTACTTTCTTTTCCTTCGTGCTTAGAGTGCACGTGATCGAGGCATGCTCCTGGTCATTCTCTGACGAATGTGCCTTTTCCGTCTCATTGTTGCCGTTGTGCCGAGTTTTCGTGACACCCCTCTTTCCATCCCACTCAAGTGTTTCGAACTCTAGGGTCTTTTTGTCACACTCCCACTCTAGTGTTTCGAACTCTAGGCTCTTTTTGTCACACTCCCACTCTAGTGGTTCGAACTCTAGGCTCTTTTTGTCACATTCCCACTCTAGTTTTTCGAACTCTAATGTTTCGAATTCTAGTGTTTCGAACTCTAGTGTTTCGAACTCTAGGCTCTTTTTGTCACACTCCCACTCTGATTTTTCGAACTCTAGGCTCTTTTTGTTACACTCCCACTCTAGTGTTTCAAACTCTAGACTCTTTTAGTCACACTCCTACTCTAGAGTTTCAAACTCTAGGCTTTTTTTGTGACACTCCCACTCTAGTGTTTCAAACTCTAGGCTCTTTTTGTCACACTCCCACTCTAGTGTTTCGAACTTTAGGCTCTTTTTGTCACACTCCCACTCTAGTGTTTCGAACTTGGGTGTCTAACTTTGGATGGCGAAAGTTTCTGTGACAGTGAAACTTCTTCAGACTAATTTTAAAACTCTGGGTATAGTTTGAACTTTGGCATTTGTTTTGTCTCAAGCTGGGCGAGAAGAAGGTGATGCAGAAAATAGTATCTTATCAATTGTTATCTCTTCTGCGATATACTGTCCTTTACAGGGGGGAAGGGGTGCCTGTGGTGATATGGATCACACGACACGTTTTGGTTGGAGTGCTGTGAGTGCTGTGCAGTTCTTCCATGTGTGTTAAGCTTGGGCTCGGATCTGGTAAATTGGTGTCTACACTCTGGCCTTGATGGTCCCACACGGACAGAGTCTGAACTCCAGTCAAGCGGAGGCTGCCCCAACACTTGTAAAGTGTCATCGTGCTTGAAGAGCTTCACTGCGAGTGTTATTCTTGCAACCTCTGATTTTCTGGCAAGTCTTTTTTCTTGGAGGGTGCATGTAACCTGAACATCGTGCACACTGTGTTTGCGGTGCTTCTTGTTTGTGCCCTCTTCACTTTATCGGCAGCTTCTCTTTCTCTTTCTTCCTCCTCGTGTCCTGCTCTGCCCCGTTTCTTCTCCGTCTTCTCCTTCCTCATGACTCTCTTCATGTTTTCTTCAGCTTTTGTCACGTTCTTTCTCCACTTCCCCTCCTCTGCTTCATTTCTTCTCCTTTTTCTCCTTCTCTTCGCTTCTCTCTTCCTCTTTTCTCTTTTCTTTTTTCTCTTCTCTCTTCGCTCTTCTCCTCTTCTCTTTTCTCCTCTCCTCTTTTCTCCTCTCCTCTTTTCTCCTCTTCTCTCCTCTCCTCTTCTCTTCTGTTTTCTTCTCCTCTTCTCTCCTCCTCTTCTCTTCTCTTCTCTTCTCTTCTCTCCTCTTCTCTCCTCTCCTCTCCTCTCCTCTCCTCTTCTCTCCTTTCCTCTCCTCGTCTCTTCTCTTCTTGTCTCTCCTCTTCTCGTCTCTCCTCTTCTCCTCCCCTCCTCCTCCTCTCTTCTCCTCCTCTCCTCTCCTCCTCTCCTCCTCTCCTCTCCTCCTCTCCTCTCCTCATCTCCTCTCCTCTCCTCATCTCTTCTCTTCTCGTCTCTCCTCTTCTCTCCTCCCCTTCTCTCCTCTCCTCATCTCCTCTTCTCTTCTCTTCTCCTCCTCTTCTCTTCTCCTCTCTTCTCTTCTCTCCTCCTCTTCTTTTCTCTCCTCTCCTCTCCTCTCTTCTCTTCTCTCCTCTTCTCTCCTCTCCTCTCCTCTTCTCTTCTCTTCTCATCTCTCCTCTTCTCTTCTCGTCTCTCCTCTTTTGTTCTCTCCTCTCCTCTCCTCTTCTCCTCTCCTCTT